TGATTTGTTTGTGTTGATTTGACTTGTGTTGTCTGATGTTTGTTTACTGGTTTGTTTGTGCATATGCCTATATACATGAATATTAAGGATCTCTTTGTAGGCCAGGTTGGTTCTGAATTCATAATAATCCTGCCTTGTCCTCCTGAGTGCCAGGTTTATAGGCATGGGCTTTCAAGCTCATGTGGTGGTTCTCTGTCTCTCTGTTTCTCTATGTCTCTCTCTGTATATCTGTCTGTCTTTCTATCTCTTGAGTGTTGTGTGTGTGTGTGTGTAGTATTTAGCTACAATTGTATGCAGGTATCCTTGCCCTTTTTATAGGTACATGTAAAGACAAGAGATTGATGCAAGGATGTTATCTCTAATCACTTCTCCACCTTATTTTTTTAGCTGAGGTTTCTGACTGAGCCTGCATCTTGCTGTTTTGCCTTTAGGTAGCCAGCAAGAGACCCTAGCCCACCTGTGCCTACTCCTCACCACTGAGTTAGAGAATGGTTAGACAAGCCACAATGTCTAGCTTTTTGAATGGATATAGGGGATCTAAACTCAGGTAGTCATGTGCATTTAACCCTAGCCATCTAGGCTTAGCTGTCTTTAACAAAGCTTTACATGCATAACTTCATATGATCACATTTGATATTTGGAGTTCAGACCTAGAGCTGAGTCATGGAGTCATAAGTCAAATGTGTTTAACCTTTAAAGAAGTTGTAGGGCTGGGGGTTGCTCAGTGGTAGAGAACAATAGCTTAGAGTAGGGTTTCTCAGCCTGTGGGTAGTGAATCCCTTTGGAGATCCAATGACCCTTTCACAGGGGTCAAATATCAGGTATTCTGCATATTTGTGCAAATTTACACTGTTGTGGGATATTCACCAAAGAAGATTGCTTGGATGTGGGTTTAAAACAATAGAAAGTCTTTATTAGCCAGCTGGCAACTACACTGGGTGTTTGGGATCACAGTGTAACCCCAAGTCTGTTCTTAGGGTGAGCTTTTACGAATAAAAACCATGTCTTGGGTTGACAAAAGCAGTCAGGAATAGAACTACAGAAGCCAAAAAGCAAGTTTAGTACATTTAGAGACTTTCTCATAACCACAAACTTTGATGGATTAAATGTTTGTTTTAGTTTTGGCAAGTGTTTCTATCTATGTGCTGAGTTTTATAGCCTAAATAGTACTTTCACCATGGAGTCTGTTGTTCTAAGGTCTCGGGGCCTACTAAGGTCTGGGGCCCTGTTGCAACATTACTATTCATAACAGTAGCAAAATTAGAGTTATGAAATATCGCTGAAAATAATTCTATGGTTGGGGATCACCATAACATGAGGAACTGTATCAAAGGGTCACAGAATTAGGAATGTTGAGAACCACTGTCTTAGAAGGTTAATGCAGAGTTTTCTAGAAGACTGTATGCTTTGAATCTGCATCCAATATCTGGTAATTTTCTCCTGTAATCAGGATTCACAGGTCTAGGAGTCAATGAGGGAAAAGGGAATGGTACCACTCACAGGCACCTGTAAAGGATGCAATCGCAAAGGTTTTACTTCCTGTTTCTATGACCTAGGAGTTTTCGTTCCAGAGTCCGGCATGTTTCTGCCAGGAGACACAGCACACATTCCACTGGACTGGACACTACAACTTTCTCTTGGTCAACTTGAGTTTCTGATTCCTTTCGGTCAACAGCCTATGAATAGGGTATTAGTGGGAATGATTGGCCAGACTATCAAAAGGAAATTAGACTGCCTCTCCAAAACAGAGCTAAGAAGGAGCATGACTGGAGTTTGGGAGATACTTTAAGGCATTCTTTGGTGATGCCATGTCCTGTTATTAAGGTCAATGGGAAACTATAATAGCCCAATCCAGGCAGAATTATAAATGGTCCAGATACTTCATGAATAAAGGTTTGAGTTGCCTTCCATGCAAAGTATGAAGACCTCTTTAAGTACTTGATAAAAGAAGATACAAATATGTGGTAAAAGATAAGTACAAATACAAAATGTGGTAGTTTGAATAAAAATGCCCCCCATAGGCCCATAGGGAGTGACACTATTAAGAGATATGGCCCTGTTGGAATGGGTGTGGCTTTGTTGGAGGAAGTGTGTCACTGGGGATGGGCTTTGAGGTCTCAAATGCTCAAGCCTGGCCAGTGCGCCTCAGACTCTTCCTGCTGCCTTCAGATGTATAGCCCCTAGCTCCTTCTCCAGCATCATATCTGCCTGCACACTGCCATGCTTGCCACCATGCTTCCCACTGTGACAATAATGTGATAAACCTCTGAAACTGTAACTCAGCCCCAGTTAAATGTTTTTCTTTATAAGGGTTGCAGTGTTCATGGTTCCTCCCCACAGCAGTAGAAACACTAACTACGACAGTTGCTATGAAGTAATTTTTCCCAAACGGCTCCAAGCTCTACAGGCCACTCTTCAAACCCCTTGCATGACTTTATTATCAGTTAAGCTGCATTCCTCTCTCTCCTTGCTCCCTCAAATCCAGAAAACCCTCCTCTCACAACTGTTCTGAACAGTAAATCACTCTCTTAACCCTTCCCTAATAGCTCTGACCTTTATGTGATTTATAGACAGGAGTTAAGCTTAAACTCAGGAAGCCACCCAAGCAGGACAACAGTGCCTCTAACTGAGCCCCTCCTACCAGGAACCATGTCAAAACAAGCTCAATTTACTGCATTAAATAGAGCATTAACCTTGACTACTGATCTGTCAGCAAATATCTCCACAGACACCAAACACATCTTCTGTATCAGGCATTCCCACATGGAAGAAAAGGAGTCCTGACTGCCAAAATTCATCTAAAATTAATAGCACCCTAATTTTTAAGACAGGTCTCCTTGTATAGCCCTGGCTGTCCTGGAACTTGCTCTGTAGACCAGGCTGGCCTTGAACTCACAGAGATCCGCCTGCCTCTGCCTCCCGAGTGCTGGGATTAAAGGCGTGTGCCACCACCACCCAGCTTTTTTCCCTAGAGGGAAGCTGTCCTTTATTGCCAGGGACACCAAGAATTTAATTATGTCATTATTAGCCTAGGAAATCCTAAGGTTGACAGGGGGACTAACTTTCCAGCCATAAGCCTCTCTTACATACTTCTTGCCTTACCCATTTACCCTCCTCTTTTCTCATCTGAGAAAAAGAAAAACTATCCAAAGAGGGAGTAACTTCATATTGAAGTTGGTTTATTAAAGGTGAAAAAAGTAACTTTATCTGAAAAGGATTATCATTTTAACAGCCCTCCATAACCAATTACATATGGGCTACTGACCCTAATACCCTCTCACACTCTTTTGAAGATTTGTCTCTTATCAGAAATCTCCATGAGGTTACCCAGTCCTGAGTGATATGCCCCAGGGACATCAGGACAATACTTTTCAGGGTAAATCTGACCAGGACTGAGGAATTGATTTTACGCAAAAGCCACCCATAAAAAAGACCAAATATTTACTGGTTATGGTAGAGACATTGTTGAGATGGGTAAGGCTTTTCCATGAATGTCTAAAGGGGCTGATTTGATGATTAGTTAAAGCCATAACTGGGTGCCTATGTCTTCACCAGCCTGGTTGATTGTGTTGCCCATCTGTAAGCCTGTGTGCTTACTTCTTGACGGCTCATTGATTAATAGCGCTTGCTGCTCTTGCAAAGAACCCGAGTTCCATTCAACTACATGGCAGCTCATAACCATTACAGGAGATCCAACATATTTTGGACCTCTTTGGGCACCATGATCACGCAAAGTGCATATCCATACATGTAAGTAAAACCTTACACATAAAATTTAAAAATTAGAATAAAAATATTTAAAAATGGAAAGTAAAATATTGGGAGGGAAGGGGATCATTGCTGAGAGTTGGAAGACAAGCGAGGGTATCTGGGGATGAGTGGGATTTAAAACATTACATACATGTATAAATTATCATAATAAGACATTATCGTGTAATAAAAACACAGAAAATTGCCACAGTTGCAGTGAGTTTCGCTGAAACAGTCATGGCTTCACAGGGAGGGTATGCGTGGACTGATGATCACCACCGTGAGGGAGAAGGGGCCTGAATGCAGACTCAGTGAACTATGACCAAAGAAAGCAAGGAGTTTTGGAGAAAAGGGTGTGTGTGCTCAGAGCACCCTGTGCTTACTCAGGCTCTTCCTTTATCAAGAGGACAATTCTCAAATATTCATTCCACTCCTCTGTGGGACTCTCACAGTACACACTTTAGAAAAGCAGCCATTGTAAAGATTCAGGCATTATGCTGGCCTGCCCCTGTCACCTGGCAGAATGCACACAGGCATTACCCTGGTCAGCACACAGGTGCAAAGACCCCTTTCAAAGAAAGACCCACACACACACACACACACCCTCTTATTATCTCTTTACTGCTCTTTCCTGCTGTTCCCCTGGGGCAGACAGGACTTTTCCTGTCTCCTTCTTCTCTTCTGTCCTCTGTCTGTATCTATGTCTCTGTGTCTCTCAACCTCTTTTCTCTTTCCTTCCCTCCCCTTTTTAATAAAACTTTGCATTTAAGCTCTGTCTGCCTGGCATGTTCATCCTTCCACATTGGCCACCCTCACCTGCCGTGGAATCCACCAAGGTTCCTCAACCTTTATCTTAACAACCATGGCTTCCATAACTTTCTGTCCTTCCTCTCTGCCCAAAGCCCACATTGGGCCTGTGACTCCAAGAACAGTAAACATGGTGACTCCAGGTTTGAGGTGAGGGCTGCAAGTATCCACAATAAATAACTTCTGAAGTCATGCCGTGCCTTGCAATTAGGCCAAAAAAGGACTGCACATAGCACAAGAGCTTTGCCCCACCTGCTGAGCCCAGGCTCCTGTCAATTCTGCCTAGTCATCATAGCTCTCCAGTAACTTTGCCCTGCCCACCAAGCTCACGCCTATAACCCTTAGTGCCCAAATATCTGTCTGGGCAAAGCCCACATGTTCTGTTCCTGCTGGTGACACACAGTGCATCCCATAGCAGCACAGACTCAGGCCTGTGAGATATCATGCCGTTGGACTCACTTCCTGGTTGGCTGAATGCTGTGGCCTGTGGGCTTCTGTTTTTTCTCCAAGTGCATGGTGAGGCTCTGTATGTGGGTGGTGGGGACCAGAGTTGCCAATTTTGGCAGAGTCAGAGGCTGAGACTGTGGTAGGGAAGGTAGCAAGGGGAGGAGAGATGACAGTGGCAAAGTGGCCCCTGTAGCAAGAGTCAGTGATGTCTGAGGACTCAACAGTAGGACAGAGTCTCTGGCAAGCACTGGGCATGAAGTCCAGAGGGTTGGGAACAGAGGGGCAGATGGGGCCCAGATCTGTGTGTGGCTGTTCCTGTGAATGTAGCTGCTACTGACCAGTGGATACTAATAAAACTAATTCCATTCCTGCTGTCATTGTGCTCCAAATGTGTCACCCCTTGAACAGAGAAGCATCTTGGTATACTACTCCAAAAAGATCCTGGGAAAGTCTCCTGGCCCTCACTCATACAGTTTTACTGCCCTACAACAGTTGCCCAAAGAGAGTCCCGGGTTCCTGTCCCCATTTTTCTGACCTTTGAAAAAGCCACAACTTGGATTCCAAGGAAAAGGGCATGTGCTCTGTGCCTGCCAGAAAGTCTTCAGGCTTATGAAAAGGTGAGCCAGGAGAGTATGGTGCCCAGAGTCTGTGTGCAGCCCTGAGGCATCTCACCCAAAGGTATTCAAGCCTGAGTTGTGCTGACCTCCTCCCAGGCCTCCTCAAAGGATTGTACCCTAATGAGGCCATATTGACTTCACACTGTGACTCTTGCCTGTTGTTGTCCAGGTTCTAAGATGTTACCAGGGACTTCTGGACAGGAAGATCTGCCCAACTCACACCTGGCTTGTTGAATTCTTGAAGGTTCTTGTTTGGATACTGGGTTCAGAATCACTGATAACTGTAAGAGGGCACAGAATTGTATCCCATCCAGGCCAGACTCATCCATGGGGACATCAAGATAACATAGGTGTGAGCTGTCATTCTGGACAAGGCAGAGGAGGCAGAAGACTTTCAACTGCAAGCCAGCCTGAGCTACATAGTAGAACCTATGGGAGGTGGGGGAGTTAACTGTAGAAATGTGTTAAAACAGAATACCACAACAATTTCAGCATCATTACTAATCAGGGAGGGAGGACATCTGGAAGTAAATTTGGATAGCAATTCATACCATAACAAAATCAGGAATTTAAAATATCACATAAATGGTCAGACAGTAATCCAGTCAATGGTGACCTTTTTGGTTTTAAATATGGCATAGATGACATTTGCTAAGATTTAATGACAGGGTAATTTTCTACTTTTTTTTTTACTTTTCATAGGCCCCCTTTTTGTACATATGGCTGTTAGAAAGACACTGACTCTTGAGAAGTCTACATATATGATTAGAGTGGTATTATCCTTTCCTCATGTGCCATTCAAAATCAGAATCTGTTTAATAAACTCAAATTGTTTCATTTAAAAATTAAAAAAGGAAAATGTGGGTAGATTTTTTTTCACATATCGGGCTGTGTTTTTCTGCCTCCTGACTAAAAGTATACTTCACTCTAATATGTGGGATTCCGAGGAAGATTTTCTTGGTGAGTAAAGCATCCTGGATGTGTCCCTAATTTATCAGATCCATTTTATCAAGTTTTGTGTATTGCTATATCAGGGACAAGTATTAGTGACCCATGGCCTCAGTGAGCTATGTGGACAGATATGTCATGTGACATAGTATCCTGAAGATAGCATGTCGCTAGTGACATGCCTTCAACATTGGAAAGATGTTGGCAAATTGCCCTCTTGTCCCTAAGAGTGGCTGCTGCCTTAGTTACTTGGTACCACATCAAGTAGCATCAAACATGCAATCCATGTTTATCAGGTGTGGGATACTCTCACTTCTTGTGGAAACAGGGCAGATCTGCCAAATTCTGCTATATTGAAGCATGATGCTGTGGAGACAAGCTGCCAGGGGTACTTGGAAAAAACTGAGTTGAGGATAACAAGAAAGTAACAACATCCACAGTGTGAAGGTAGATGATTGAGCAAACCCAACCTTGATATCATATGTCACTTACAGGTGAAGACTCAGCCAGCCCCATCAGGACTACACTCACAGGACAGGTGCAGGGCAGTCTTGTCCACTTGAATGGCACCAGAGAGGGTGTCCACACCTTCCTGGGAATTCCCTTTGCCAAGCCACCTCTAGGAAAGCTGAGATTTGCACCCCCTGAGGCTCCAGAACCATGGAGTGGTGTGAGGGATGCAACCTCCTACCCAGCCAGGTAAGTTCTCCTGAGACCCAGCAAACTTCAGGCCCTGGAAATGCAGGAGTTCAGACCGCTGAGACAGACTCCAGTGCCTTTTCCATCTCAAGCCCTCAACTGCATCCTCTCTGTGATGGGGATATGCTGCAGATGCCATAGAAAAAGGCAAAGTGATGGTGGTTTCTTAGCAAATTCACCCTCCACAACCACTGTACCAACCTATAAGTGTCCAGGTACCATTGGCTGAGAAACAAGTATGTGTCTTCCAAAAGAATTCAGTTCCTTGAGAGTCTGGATATGAGACGAAGGATGTCCCATCACCCTGTTTCCTAATGCAGCATCCATACTGGTACAGCACCCCAGTACCCAGGCTGCAGAGAGTACAAAGAGAAGTGGGATCATTACACACACCAAGAGTTTGCACAGAAATTCATGGAAATATCAACATCCCATCATCAGGAAGAGTAGGATACAAAGTTCCCATCCATCTGGCTGCCTCACTGGAATTTGAGCTCCAGTTTTCCCAAAGCCTGTGACCTTTACCTTACTTAGAAGAGATTTTGGAGTGGAATCGCATGTTATCGGGGTGTCATGCGGCCACAGAGAGAGGTTTTGGTGACTGATATATACTCAGGGTCTGGTTTTTTTTGTTGTTTTTTTTATATAGAGAATACTTTATTAGTTTTTGTAATCAAACCCACATAGATAAGACCTCACATATTTAATACAGCGCATTACCCCTGTTCAAATGGAAAAAAATTAAGTTCAACATTTCTAGACCAATATGGCTGTTAATTTCTGTACTATGCCAACTCAACACGATAAACTGGGATACTTTTTTTCCAAAGTTGACAGCACAGCTAAAGTTTCCAAAAATTCAAATTATATATGTATATATATAATTATATTTATATAAAAAGACCAATAATAGCAATATGTTATGCATCAATAGCAGCAACAGCTTTTCCAGGTTCTTCGGTCATTTGAACAAAATTGTAGAGACATCCAACACACTCCATTTTTAAAAAAAGTAAAAAACAAAATCCCAGAAAACAGCACAGTTCTGTTACTCTTGTGGTACCTGGCACCAATTTTTTAATTAGCTTCTCAATCATCATCTGGAAGGAAACCATTCTGAGCAACATCATTAAAAACAGCTCTGATAAAGCATGGTCACTGCTATGTATCATAAAGCAGGTCAGGGTCTGTTTTTTAACTACTACATATCTCATAGAATAATTGTCATTGTCCCCAGATGTCTACAAAATTCTGAAACAGAGAATGCAAACAGTCTGGCAATGATGAAACTGAACGTGACTCCCATCTCTACATCTGAGGACTGCCTGTATCTCAACATCTACACACCAGCTCATGCCCATGAGGGCTCTAACCTGCCTGTGAGTAGCAGATCATGCTCAGCTCTGGGGAAGGGCATTTCTTCAAGATGATTAGAAGAGGCAAAATCAATCTGAGCTCCAAGAAGGATGGATCCTGTTTCTACAGCTGTTCTGCTAATGTGTCCTTTATTGGGCAATTGAGTCCATTGGCATTGCAAGACAACAATGATGAATGATTGTTAATTCCTGTTATTTTGTTGTTGTTGGTGGTGGTGGTGGTGGTGGTAGTGTGCGTGCGTGCGTGCGTGCGTGCGTGCGTGCGTGCGTGCGTGCGTGCGTGCGTGCGTGCGTGCGTGCGTGCGTGCGTGCGTGCGTGCGTGCGTGCGTGCGTGCGTGCGTGCGTGCGTGCGTGCGTGCGTGCGTGCGTGCGTGCGTGCGTGCGTGCGTGCGTGCGTGCGTGCGTGCGTGCGTGTGTGTGTGTGTGTGTGTGTTAGAGAGATAGACAGAGACAGACAGAGAGTGAAAGAGAGTGCTTCTTTTGCTTTTACCAGTGTGAGATTATTTCTTGTGTTTTCATGTATGTAGTTCACCTCCTTGGTTTGGATTTTGCCTGCAAGAACCATCTGCAGGGCTGATTTGTACATAGATATTGTTTAAACGACTTCACCATGGAGTATCTTATTGTCTCCATCTATGATTATTACAAGTTTTGCTGGGTATAGTATAGGTTCTTGAGTCTGTGGCACATCTGTCCAAGAACCACTGTTTCTTGGGGTCTTCATTGAAAAATCAGGGGTAAGTCTAATAGACCTGCCTTTATATGTTACTTGGTATTTTTCCCGGAAGCTTTTACTATTCTTTCTTTGTTCTGTATGTTTGGTATTTTGATTATTATGTGGCAAGGGGACTTTTCTAATCCAATATATTTGCTGTTCTGCATGTTTCATGTACCTTTATAGGCATTTCCTTCAAATATGAAATTTTTCTTATATGATTTTGTTTGAAGATATTTCTAGACCTTTGAACTGTTTGATATTCTTCTCCTTCCTCTATTCCTATTATTCATAGATTTGTTCTTTTCAAAATCTTCCAGATTTCTTGTTAGATTTGCATTTTCTTTGACCAATGTATCCATTTCTTCTATCATATCTTCCATGCCTGAGATTCTCTCTTCAATCTTTTGTATTCTGTTGAAGATTTCCTCTGTAGTTCTTATTCACATTCCAAATTTTTTCATTTCCAGGAACCCCTCAGCTTGTGTTTTCTTTATTGTTTCTACATCTATTTTCTGGTTTTGAATGGTTTTGTTTTCTTCAACTGCCCCACACACACATACACACACACACACACACTTTGGCTCCCTTTAAGGGATTATTTTTTTCATTTCCTCCAATTGTGTTTTTCTGGATTTCCTTAAATGGTTTATTCATTTCCTCTTAAGGACCTCTATCATCTTTATATAGTTGGTTTTAAGGACTTTTTTCAGCTACGTTGGAATATTCAGGGCCTGCTGCAGTAGCATAGCTGGGCTCTGTTGCAGACATATTTCCCTGGCTGTTATTGATTGTGTTCTTATGCTGGCATCTAGGCATCTGAGTTAAAGGTGATCATAGGTCTAGGTATTGGTTTCTGGGTTTGTCTCTCTTTGGTAGATGTTTTGCTTCTTAGTTTCTGTTTCCTCTCTGGGTTTTCAGAGTGTGTTGCCTCTTTTACAGACCTGCTCAGCCAGTGTGTTCACGGGGAATGCTTGCTGGTGTTGGAGGCTGGGGAAGGGGAGGCAAGGAGTGAGATGGACTGTTGCAATGCTATGTGTGACCCTGAGAATTGGGGAACAGAGAGACTAAAAATGTTCTACAGCAGTCTACCTGGTCATCTGCCAGGTGTAGCCTACACTTGAACAGGGCATATCTGCCCAAGTTGGGGATTGGAGCATAGTAATAAGGTTAGGAGGGAAGGGCAGTGAAGGGATGGAGTGGGTATAAGGGATTCACAGGAGTGGTAGACAGGCTGAAGGGAAGTTTCAGCTGGTGTTCTGTTGCAGTGCTAGGGGCAACATGAGAATCAGGGGTAACAGAAAGTGAGGAAGGGCCATGGGGAGCATACCTGATCCCAGAAGTCTGGTATTAAAGGCATACATCACCATGACCAGCTATGTATGTGCCAATGATTTTTTGTGGACAATTAAGAAAGTCACTGATAAAAACACCCCTTTTCATTTCAAAGGGGTCCAAGATTAAGGATGTCATTACTCCAGATTTACAGCCATTAATATAGGCTTGGATCCTTAGAGAAGCAGAGAGACTCGCAAGTATATTTACGGTACTAGGACTTTTTGGTGGCCCATGTGAGATTGGCCTGAGGCATTTGTCTGTGTGTCTGTATACAGTAAGACAAAGCATTAGGGGAAGTAGAAGATACCCCAGGTAGAGCTTGAGCTAGGTAGGAACCTCCAGTCATCTAACTTGATTCCCACAGGTGATGGTGTGGATCCATGGTGGTTCACTGGTAATGGGCATGGCTTCCTTGTATGATGGATCCATGCTGGCAGCCATGGAGGATGTGGTGGTGGTCACTGTCCAGTACCGCCTGGGTATCTTAGGCTTCTTCAGGTGAGTCTGGGACTGGGCTGGGCTGGGCAATGGTGTCTGAGAAGAATAAAGAAGCCCTGTGATTCCTGTCCCTTCCACTTCTCAGCACTGGAGATGAGCATGCCAGAGGCAACTGGGGCTACCTGGACCAAGTGGCCGCCCTACGCTGGGTCAAGCAGAACATCGCCCACTTTGGAGGCAACCCTGACTGTGTCACCATTTTTGGACAGTCTGCAGGAGCCACAAGTGTGTCTTCACATGTTGTGTCCCCCATGTCCCAAGGACTCTTCCACAAAGCCATCATGGAGAGTGGAGTGACTCTGGTGCCTGTACTTATCTCCAACACTTCTGAGGTTGTCTACACAGTGAGTCACTTCACTCATCCTACCGAGGACCCTGCAACCTCAACCCCCAACCTCTGATACCCTGGGAGTTTTCTCAATTGGGAAAACAAGGAGCTTCTTTCAGGAGTTTCTGAGATATTCAAGTGTTAGAATCCACTTCTCTCTACTTCATCTACCCTGGGTGTAAGAATAATGCATAAGTACCTTATAGTGTCCATCATTTTCTGAAACAAATATGTATGTGATGAGGATAAGGCTCAATAGGTAAAAGCATAAAGACCTGACTTCAAATTCCCCCAAACTACAAAAAGCTGCACATGATAACAAGAGTGCAATACTAATATTCCAATAGATAGGAGGAAGAGACCAAAGGATATCTGGAAGACCACAAGTTAGATTGACTCTTGTAGGCAAAACAAAATAATAAAAGTTCATTTCTCAAACAAAATAGAAAATGAGGACCAGTGACCTCTAATCTTTGCACACAAACCACACTTATGGACATACATACACAGCATATTTTTTAAAGTGTTCAGGTAAAATGGCCCCTCTGGCTGTCATTTCTGAACAATAAGAAAATGGGAATTTCATGCTTACTCTAATCCACCAGCACAAGTTGTAATATGATATTTGGACACAATGCCATTCAACTGGGATTGGGAAAACTCTTCTACCTGCCTAAAAGGATGGATCAACTCCTGCCTGGTCTCTTTACAGACTGTGGCCGAATTATCTGATTGTGAGGCTGTGGACTCGGAGACCCTGGTGCACTGTCTGAGAAGCAAGAGTGAAGAGGAGATTCTGGCTATTAACAAGGTTGGGGGAGCTGTGTGACTTAGAGGACCTGGTCAATGAGATGTGGGAGAGTCAGTCCTTACTACTCTAAACAAATTACTTCTGCTCCATGGTTTGGTATCCTTTTAATCGTGTGCATAAAATGAATACCAAGATATCCTCATACATGTAGAATCTCTGCCAGGGGAGAAGAAGCCTCTTGAGACAGTGAAATAGTGGTGGGGGAAAGGTAATGATTAGGGTTTCTCAGTGAACATAAGAATATGTATGGAATTGAACTTCACCACTGACTTTTGGTGTCCTCAGGTCTTCAAGATGATCCCTGCTGTGGTAGATGGGGTATTCCTACCCAGGCATCCCCAAGAGTTATTGGCTTCTGTGGATTTTCACCCTGTCCCCAGCATTATTGGTGTCAACAATGATGAATATGGCTGGCTTCTACCCGAGGTGAGGCACAGTTGCAATTCTTTGGAAGCCTGGTGACTCATAAGGTGGGTAGTGGAAACTTGATCCATATCCATCCTACCTTACACTGAAAACTGCCCCCTGTCTCCCAGACCACAGGCATTGACAAAACAATAAAGAACATAACCAGAGAGACCCTGCAGGCTGTTCTGAAGAGCACAGCAGCACAGATGGTGAGATACCTTGGGTACTGTCTCCAATAAAAAGGACCTCTATATATCCTTCTCAGACATTATGCCTAGAAACAAAACTTTTCAGCACTTATACCTTTCCCTATACTTCACACTGAGGCTGCTGCCTGTCAAAACCTAACCTCATTCTCCCTGATCCCCTGGTGTAGATGTTACCTCCTGAGTGTAGTGACCTGCTAATGGAAGAGTACATGGGGGACACTGAGGACCCACAGACCCTTCAAATACAGTTCACTGAGATGATGGGAGATTTCATGATCATTATCCCTGCACTCCAAGTTGCAAATTTTCAGTGTGAGTACATCTGTAAAGAGGCCAAGTTGGGAAGAACTCAGAGTCATGGGTCCCAGATGAGTTTTATAGTGTCCAGGTCCCTAGCCATGTCTGGATCATGTCTCTGGTACCAAATACCCCTAGACCATTACATCTGTATTTCTTCATTCTAGTGTAAGAGACATTTTATGCATGAATCAGGTTTATGAAGAATCAGGTTGCTAATTATTAATATGGCAAAACTACACAGCTGGGAATGCCATGGTCACTTTTTAGCCAAAAGCTTTCCCATAACTAGTGCTTCAGCCTGGAGCCACCTACTTGACAATTATGACATCAGAAAACTTTATACCAATATATTTTGTCACCAAGGGTTAGGCAGGAAAGCTCCAGGTGAGAAAATACTGCCACTATATGTCTTCACCTCTAGATTCCCATGGCCCTGTCTATTTTTATGAGTTCTGTCATGATACCAACTTCCTCAAAGATGTCAGACCACCCCATGTGAAAGCTGACCATGGTGATGAAGTTCCCTTTGTCTTTGGGTCCTCCTTCTGGGGCATAAAACGTGAGTCTTCTTTGTTTTCCATGAGCTGGATGGGGCCTCAGGTGGGTACCTGAGGGGCAACTGAACTCCTAGTCCAGTTGAGAAAATCAAGGCTCTGAGAGAGGACATGATTAAGTATGTACCTTTTTCCAGCTCAAAAAGCTACACCCAGATTAGAAGATGGATTCTTTCAAGTACAATCTATTGTCTCACTTTTCTATTGCTGTGATGAGGCACTATGACCAAGTAAGCTTATAGAAGAAAGAATTTATTGGAACCCACAGTTTCAAAGGGTTAGTTAGAGTCCATGACCATCATGGATGGGAGAATAGCAGCATGCAGGCAGGCATGGCACTGGAACAGTAGCTAACTAAAAGCTTTCATCCTGATCTACAAGCACAAGGCAGACAGAGAGCTAACTGGAATAGACTGGACTTTTAAACCTCAAAACCAACTTCAAGTGACACACCTCCTCCAACAAGGCCATTCCTCCTAATCCTTCCCAAACAGTTCCACCAACTAAGGACCACGCATTCAAATATATGAGTCTAGAGGAGTCATATCATTTGAGCCACCATACATATGCTAGCAGGAATGAGGACACACTGGAACAGAACTTAACCTGAAGGCATTCAGGTAGAGGTGTGGGTGGCTCTTGAATCTGAATCTTGAAGGGAAAAGGGAAAGAAGCCTAGAGTTCAAGGTCAGGATGCAGGAAGGAGGGTGAATGTGGAGTGTGAATAAGCAGCTGCACCACTGGCTGCAACCTGGACCTTTGCCTGCCCCCATTGCTGCAGCTGATTTTACTGAGGAGGAGGAGCTGTTGAGCAGGAGGATGATGACGTACTGGACTAACTTTGCACGACATGGGTAAGAGCATGCCCCTCCCTCACCCTCCCTGTTTAGGGCTCCACTTGTGGTTGATGGCTTCATTAGCATGCATGAATAACTCATCACGTGATAGAGTCCTCCTCACCCCAGGGCACACTTAGACACATTGTATTAGTTACTGGTCATACTTCAGCGACCTGGCAGGTGCTATGGTATTGTTCTTTAGATTTGGCCTCTGAGAGGGAGACATGAAATTGGCCAGGTAGTCTTGCCCCACATGGAGCAGACACTAGTAGGTGACACTTGTATCCCTATGTGAGGACACATGCCCCATCAGCCACCTCAACCATTGACCCAATTGGTACACAGCCCTGACACTAATTGAGGGATCAGGCAATGGTTGAGAATAACCTACACCATTTCCTTCTGGGTGGTATATCAACAGGAACCCCAATGGTAAGGGTCTACCCTACTGGCCTGAGTTTGACCAGAATGAGAAGTACCTGCAGCTGGGCAACGTGACTGCTGTGGGCAAAGTCCTGAAGGCCAGAAGGCCAGGGTTCTGGAGCAAGATTCTACCACAGATCCAGGAGCTAAAGAGGGCTCAGGAGAATCAATAAGAGTTGTGGTACTCTGTGAGAGGAATTGGGTGAAGTGTTGAGTACATGTGGGGTCCTTGCAGAATCCTGGTTAAAGTCTAACAACCATATAACTAACCATCTCTTACAGTTTTCATTTGGCCAACATGTATGACAAACCCTTGGTGTGCCACTCATTACTCAACATGCTGGAACACCTATTATGAGACCCACTCAGTAAATGCTCCCATGACTGTGTAGATGTGTGATCCCCTAAGTGCCCCAATCTTCTTTCACAGTCCACTGGTACCTGGCTCCTCCCTTCCTTTCTTATCTGCTTTCAGCCTCTGTCCTTTTCTCCAAGACCAAGACATTCTTCAAATGAAACAGAAGCTTTGGAAATATTGAATATATGAGAGTGACCTATGTCAAAAACCTATGTTCTCTCAGCAAGTCTCTTGTCTTTCTTATTTGTAAGTAGACAATAAAGAAACCTAATGACCCAAAGTTCTATCATTTAATGTCTTTCAGCCTGTTATTCCAAAAGTTCACAGATTGCAAGCTGGACTCTATAGGTACCTGTGGCCCCTGCTATTCAGAGGCTGAGACAGGAAGATTCTTGATTCAAGCAGTTTCAAGTCAGCGTGAGCAACACAGTAAAACCAACATCTCACATGTATCTGGGTAACACACAAATAGCAAAGATGTGTATATAAGTTTATAAACCAAGAAATTCAAGGTCAAATGCCATCAGATCTGCTGTGTGCTAAGAATTAGGTCTCTGACTCAAAAGATTTCACATGACATCCTAACTGAATAGAATGAACCAACAATCACACCCTTGATCTTCCCAGAGTCACAACTCTTAATAGCATTGGATTAGAAATTAGATTTCAGCAAATAAATATGATCCCATGACTTTCAGACCATAGCTCATAGAGGATTCTGACATCAGCCACAAAGGATGCCAACTGGTGAAAATATCCCTACACATTGTCCCTGTAGATGAATTTTTACTAATGCCTGCAGACGAAGAGCTAAGCATGTTCGTGGGATTTTCAGTCTGGGTCAGGAGTTAGGGAGTTGATCAGAGCTACATGGGTTTCTCAGTGCCCATTTTCTGAAGTTTGCTCTTTGGGTCAGGAGTTCTGCAGACAGTATGGAGTCCATACTTTCTTGATTCCACTACCTCTGTGAAAATGTTTGTCTATGGGGTGTGTCCTAGAAATGGATTGGTGTCATAAGAGATTCCTGTCCCTGCACCCTGAGCAAGCTTCTCCTTGTATGGAAATGTTTACCTGCCCTTTAATAAGTCCTCCCAAAGCCTCTTAGCTCCTTGGTCATCCCCTAATCTTCTTGATAGTCCATGTGATTGATTCCTTTAAATGATTCCAACCCCCAGCAGTACAAAGTCTCCTGCACTTTGCCATTTACAAAGGTGCTGAATTCTGCTCTGTCTGTCCTTTTGCTTCCCCAAAGCACTTTCTCTGTCATTAACAGGTATTATCTTCTGTCCTGCAGGCCCTAGGACCTCCCCATCCTTCTACCTGTCACCATCTAGCCCTACTTGAGCCAGTTTTCCCAGAACAAAGTCCCGATTTCCCAATCACTGCACTGAATACAAATCATAATGCACCATGACCTTTGGGTTGAAAAGAAAAATTTCTGTGTTGCCTCCCCAGGACACCAGGGAATAGCTGAGGTTAATGTTGACTCTTGTTTAAGAAGCTGAGCAGGGAATATTCTCACTGGATTCTTAATGCATTGTTGAGCCCCTGGTGAGACCAGCAGTTGGCTGCACCCCGCCAAGCAGTCAGGTTGGGCCTTCAACCCTTTTCATTGCTGAAAGCTTGGTGTCTGTTGACAAAACTTACCCAAAGGAGCTGAAGACTTTCCTGGTTCTTAGAAGAAAAATCAGAGACAGACAGCTAGCAGTGTGATGACTGATGGCTCATGCTGCTTCCCCTGTATTCCTCTCTCCTTTGCAAAGCCTAAGCAAAAACAGATTAATGCAAACCAATCTTTGGGCCCTTTTTTTCAGGTGGGAGCCTGGTGATGGTTGATCTTGATCAGTCAGGGTCATAGTACCTTTTCACCACTCTCACTCTTAGACACTCTCCTTTCCCTGATGATAAACTGTAACTTTCACCCTCACTCAGTGTCTGTGGGGTTTCATTTGTCACAATTGTGAGCATGAACCAGCATTGGCCTCTGGTATCAGGAGCTTGTGTGACTGATTGTCCAGCACCCCTTGCTCCAATACCAAGGATTCAAAGTGTTTTGACGGGACTCTTTTGCAGTTCAGGGGATCACTGAACCTCATTCCTGTAAACCCACTGCCATGTGGCTTCCATTTCTCTGAATACACAGGACATCTCACCAACAGAAATCTCAGGGTACTTTTTAGACTAGGTAGCTACTATGGTTTGAATTTAAAACGTGACCAACAGACTCGTGTTTTTGAGTGCTTGGCCCATAGCTAGAGTGTAGCACAAAAATAAAAGACCCATAGACAGATATTGGTTTCAAACTTCAAGCTGATGATCAGAAAACAAAGCAGATGGCCACTAGCTCTCAGCTCAAGCTCAAGCTGAAAGGGACGATCCACCCATGAGCTCTTCACCAAGCCTCAAACTGCCACCTCTCCTCATCATGGCTGGAGAATCCTGAGACTTCAATGTCTTCCCATCCTCTTTGATACTGAGCCTTCCTATCTTCAGTGTGGCTGGACAGTGAATGCCTGATACTGGAGACCTTGCTCCTGTTTTATATACATACCTCCCTAATGCTGGGATTAAAGGCGTGTGATTCCAGGTGCTGAGATCATCCTTGTGTGACCTCTTTCTCGTTAGTACTGGCTCAATCTTGTGTAGATCTGAGTGCCCTTGCACTTAAAGAAGAGTTCCATCTATCTCTTAATCCTGAGGCCTAGGATTAAACGTGTGTACCACCACCTGCTAGATTCTGGCCTCTGGGATTAAAGGTGTGTACCTGGCTTCTATGGCCTGTGGCTGACTGCTTTCTGAATCCTCAGGCGAGTTTAATAAATCATAAATAATATATCACCACACTAGAGGACTATTTTAAAGACTGTGGATCCTTTAGGGAATAGGGTCTAACTGGAAAAATTATTAGGGACAGACATGCACCTATATCATACTGCATATATTTGCCTGGACTTGTATTTTATTTGTAATGTTGTTATCATTATTACTGCTATGATTTGCTCATTTGGATTTTGTTGGTTGACACACAATCTTCCTGTGTAACCCAAGCTGTATTCAAACTCAGGATCCACCTGTCTCAACCTCCCAATTCTTTGACTAATTATGTTAGTCAACATATCTGTTCTCCTAGCCTTTTTTTTTCATTTTATTCCCTCTCTCTCTCTCTCTCTCTCTCTCTCTCTCTCTCTCTCTCTCTCTCTCTCTCTCATTCTCTGTGTGTGTGGTGTGTGTGTCTACTTTTTTTCATTTTATTCTCTATCTCTATTTTTTTTTTTCAATTTATTCTCTCTCTCTGGTGTTGACCCAGCCCCCTCGGGGTCTCTGTGAGTTGTTTTCCAACATAACCACAGGTACCTCCTGTCTAAGCCCCACCCACTAACATCTTGTTATGAACCTTTCTTGTTATTGAAACATTATGCCTTGCCCCCATCCCCTTCTTGCTTCGTTGGCCGTGGGCAGGGGTTGTGGTTTCCTTGTTTATGGTAGGGTGTGGGAGTGTGTTCTGCCATCAGGTGATGTTTTTCCCATTTCCTCTGCTGGCTGCAATAAACCGATGGCATTCGCTTCTACCGAATGTGTCTTTCTTAATCTGCAGACTCTCGCCTGGTCCGGTTCTATGGTTGCTGGTGCTGGCACTGGTGACACTCTGGGCGGGGGGTGTATGTATGTGTGTTCACCTATGTTTCTGTGTGTGTGTGTTGTGTGTGTGTGTGTGTGTGTGTGTGTGTGTGTGTGTGTGTGTGTGTGTCTGTGTATGTGGGGGGTAGGCACACACATGCACAAACACACATGCACACTTGTGCACACATGCCATGACACACAGGTGGAAGGCAGAGGAAAAACTTTTGAAAGTCAGTTCTCCCCTCCTGCCATATGGATTCCAGGGATCACACTCAGCTCATCAGCCTTGGTGACCTCATCCTTACCATTGAGCCATCTCAACTAGCCCTCTCCTTAGACTCTTCTGCTCCCAGCTTCCTTTCTATCTCCATCTTAGTCTTTCTATACTCTGACTCTGTGTGCTTCTGTTTCTCTCTCATTTCCCCAGGTTTCTATGGCAAGTTTTCCATCACCCTCCCAATATACATAGAAATACTCTTGAGTTTCTTTTTCATTGAATAATATATTTATATAAATGTGTGTTTTCGTGCTTGTGTGTAGACACACTAGATTCCAAGAATGAATCCATACAATTTTCAGACCATGACTATGAGGATTAAGGGACCAGGGCAGGGAACCAAGTAAATCATGATTCCAGAAACTAAGAAGGAATTTTCAGGGTTAAGGGGAAAGATATAGCTTCATGTATTTGCTCTTCCAGTTCCCTTCACCCCATAATAGGTGTGTTCATTCTCTATTGTGGGTCACTGAAGATGTGTCACTTTGGAGAAGCCCTTTTGTCGTCTCTACTTACATCAGCTTTCAGTTCTGTCCTTTCATCCCCAATGTTGTGTTTGCACCTGTGACTGTCACATCTGTAAACTTAGGTTTCAGGTGCAGGTAACTATATTTAAAGGGCTACAGATGCTACATATCACCTTCAGAGGAGGCCAGAAGAAATGCAGAAAGTGTGGAGGTGATCACAGTTCCTGTCTGCTGATAATGGCTTTCACAAGCCCAGCCTGTTCAGGGTTGCTCTCCTGCAACACACCTCCCAGGCCCTACCCAGAGCCCTACCCACACTCTGCTGGGTCCAAACTCCAGCTCTAGTCCTCAGGTGCTCTCTGGTAAAGCCTAACTTGCCACACAGGATTCAGACACACTCCTGTGCACCAACAATGGGACTGGAACAAATTCTCACTCTGCTGACCACCGTGGCCTGTGGGTTCCTGCTTCTCCTCCAAGTTCAGGGTGAGGATCTCATGGGAGTGACTGGGAACCATGTCAGAGCTGCCAAAATGTGCAGAGGCAGAGTGGAGGCTAAGGGAGGAAACGGGCAATGGAGTACTGAAATGGTGGAGTTCATTGCTCAGTAACCCTGCACTTGTATGATGCTTCCCACAAGAGCCAGAGTGGGCCGCCCAAGCCAGAGAGCAGAGAGGCTACCTAACAATGCCCACCTTCAAGGAGGGAGCTCAGAATGAGGGGGTTTTGAGGAATGACTGATGAGCAAGACCAGACAATAAGCAGCCTCTAGATAGGGAGTCAGGACATTCCCTCCTAGGTTGATGGCTGGAGCTGCAGCTATGTGTACATACTAAACAACATGATGATATCCTCCATGGCCATTTGACTCTGATGTATCATTTCCTTGGCCAGAAGAGTAGCATGGCTTTCTCAGAGGTTTTCAAGTAAAGCTCCTTACTCTTGAGGATACAAGAGCTCAATCCTGCACCTGAAATTGGCTCTGGGAGGTCCCAGGGTGCTTTTTTACATCATCTATTTGTCCTGGCCTGAGACACCTGTGTGACTTGGCTTCCAGGGGAAAGTTAATAGCACTCTGTGCTTACCAAGTAGTTTCCACCTTATTTGGAGTTAAGTGGATAGAATTCCTGAACATGTCCCTCAGTCTTCATTCTCTCCTCTCAAGGGCTCCTCCTGAAGGCCCTAAGTCTTACCACCCTTTTCCAAGTTTCCAATTTCCACACACCTATTCTTCTTGCCTTACCTCCAAAGGCCTTTCTCCCTCACCTCATTTGACATTGCTCCCAAAAGTCACCAGGACCTTCCAGGTAAGAGATCTACCTACCCTCTCTAATGGCTCCCATTTTAAATAGTGGTTGAGTTGAGCTTATACCAGGAAGCACCATTAACAAGTCATAGAAGTGCACAAATGTGGATTCCACCCTCTTCTGTCTCAGACACTCCTGGTTCTTCTACAGGAAACATCAAGGTCCCTAAGCCTTATACACAGGGTTCAGACGTTTGTCTAAGAAGAGATTAAGGCTTTGGCCCTTGATTTCAACCAAAATAATTACAAATCCATTCCATTTCTGGCACCACAATTTAACTCTTCCTGGCAAGGAGATCACCTCACACTACTACACAGTAGAGCTCCCTAATACCATTCAATGGGAGCATTCACTTCAAAAATAATCAGTTAATGCAACAAATCTAAAAATCATGGATATTATATCATATTCTTGTCCATTGCTGTAACAAGGGACATGAGGCCTCAGTAGCTGGTAACTGAAGTGAAGTCACATGAACAGAGATCTCATTCAGCATGAAACACTGTATCAATAGCATGTGACAGAGGAGAAGGTTCCTTTTGAATTGGACATCTTAATGGATTGGATAGCTGTGCCAAAATACCTGAACCCTCATAATGGTCAAAGGAAGTATCTTTGTTCAGATCACAATTTAGAGTTTAAAAATTTATGAGCAGGTAGCTGACTCTAGTGAGGCTCTGTTCAGGGCCTTCTATCTATGTTACCGCATGCCAATGGCATTTCACAGTAGATGAGCAGGAGAGAGATGATATGATGATACACCCTGGGAATGGTCATAGTTCCTCCTGTCTGACAGCTCCTCACTCTCACCACAAGACCTAACCAGTTTCAAAATCCAGCAGTAATCCCTGTGTGAGGGCTTCCATGGTTCAGTCACCTCTCACAAGATCATACTTCTTATAGGTTCCACAAGCTCAACAGCAGCACCCTACAGTAAGCATCCAGTATATGAATCTTTGGGGTACAAAACATACACAAATCAGTGCATTCCATTTTAGCCCCCAGGTTCATGTCCTTCTCACAGTGCAAACATGATGATCATGCCATGCTTCCAATCCCAAGGACTTAACTCCTGTGGGCATGATCCCAAAGTTCAAAGTCCCAAGCACCATCTGAATTTCAAGGAAAACTCCTTCTAGCTGAGAGCCTTTAAAGAAAAAAAAACAAGTTTGATGGTTTTAAAAATTAATGTTGTGCTGACCAGTTTTTGTCAACCTGACACAATCCTAGACATCTGAGAAGAAGGGCTCTCAACCGAGAAATCAATTCCAGGAGATTGGCTTGTAGGCCAGTCTGTGGGAGCATTTTCTTGATTAATTACTAATGTGGGAAGGCCCAGTCAACCAGGAGTAACAACTCCCCTGGGCCTTGGTCTTTCGTTATAAGAAAGCAGACTAAGCAGGCCATGGAGAACAAAACCAGTAAACAATATACTTCCATGGACTCTGCTTCAGCTCCTGCCTTGAGTTCCTGCCCTACATTCCCTTCAGGACTATAATCTGTAAGATGAAATAAACCCTTTTCTCCTCTAAGTACCCTTCACATGTGGTGTCTTCACAGCAATAGAAACCTGACTAGGACATTCCCGATGCAAAAAGAATGAACAGGCAAATAGAAAAGGGTATCAGGGCGCAAGCAAGAGAGACTTTCAAAACTGCAGGTCCAGCATGCTGTGCCCATGAGAGCAGGCAATGGGCCACAGGGATTCAGGTGCCCCCACCCCTGTCATGTGACACTGCTTGCTGTATTGGATACTTTCTTATTTCTGTGATGAAACACCTCGACCAAGGCAATTTAAGGAAGAAAGGTTTATTTGGGCTTACGGTTCCAGAAGGATACAGGTCCACAATGGTGAGGATAGCCCGGTAGTCAACCTCAGATATAGCTGAGAGCTTACATCTCAAACTACAAGAGAGTGAAACTGGGAATGGTGCATAGTTTTTGAAACCTCACAGCTCTATCCTCAGTGACTTCCTCCAGCAAGGCAAGGTCTTCTAAAAGAATCCAAACAGAGCAACCAACTGGGGAGCAAATATCCAAGTATCTGAGCCTATGGAGACCATTCTCATTCAAACCAGCACTCTGGCTGCAGCCTACCTAGTTGCTCTCTCAACTACTTTTGCCTACTTTTGCCTACTTTTGCCTCCCAGCTTTCATAGGCTGATGCTGCCAATTGCCTGTATTTGTACAGTTCTGAATCTCAAGAGCCATGGTCCCACTCTCACAGCTCGCAAAGCATTTTGGTGAGAAGTCTTGGCAGAGCTGCTGGGGTGGAGCCTCCCACATTTTTCTGAGAAATATCATTGGAACCTGCTGTGACCTTGGATTCTGTATCCAACATATTAGTACCAGGTAAATCCCCCAAGATATGCTGCTTGACCCCTTTGGGTCAGTGTCAAGAGCCAATCCTTGACTGGCTCACCCATGGCTAGAAGAGCATTATAACAGAATATAAGAAGCAGAATCCTAAAGCTACCCTGAACAACAAGCATGTGGAGTGCACTCATTCCCAAAACCTCCAAGCCTCTCTGCTTGTGATAGGAGGTTAGAGGAGGAAGATGTTGGCAAAATGTAAGACTTCTATGAAGTCTCCAGAGTGCCTTTCCCTTTGTTCTGGGGCATTCCTCTGAGCCCGGCTTCCTTCTGCCCGTGTGTGTGTGTGTGTGTGTGTGTGTGTGTGTGTGTGTGTGTCTTCACATTCTTACCAAAGTCCTTTTTGCTCTTTACATGGACATGATGTGAATTTTCAGATTTATAAGCTCTGCCTCCCTCTCCAGGGATTAATGTGAATTTCACTGGATATGGCCCAGAAGACTCGCACAGTTCCTAATATGGTTTACTTTGAAATTCCTTTTCACTATTAAAGTTAGCTTTCTATGAGCTTTACAGTATGAGTGCAATGACCCAACTTCTTCATAATACAGTGACACAGGTTCTCACTTTCTTCTGGGACTTTCTTAGTATATCTTTCCTGTCAGCGTTGCTATTGGCAACATTCTGGACATGACCATGTAAACCATCTATGAAGTGAAAGATCCTTCCTAGTCTTTTGTCATAGAGCCCTCACCATAGCAACTTACAATGTTCACTTTGCAGTAAAACAGGACTCTTATAGATTGTCCCTGCAAACCATTCAAATATTTGGCCACTATTGTGTTCTAATCCCATTTCTATATCTTTGGGTATTGTTATGAAGCAACCTCATTCTTGTTTTTATTGCTATTACAAAATAACCAACACTGGATAATGTATTTTAAAATGTCTTCTTTAATTCATAGCATTGAAGGCAGAAAATCCATGATTAGTGATACTCTATGGTGAGCCTCTGGTCTTGGAGACCTGTCACAATGCATGGCAATGACATTCCATGGATGAATTATATGGACAGGTATCAACCAATAGACAGGAGAGGGGCCAAGCTGACTGTGATTACAGTCTGCTGCTAATCTCAGAGAAAGTAGCTCACTCCTGTGAGATTGAATTAGCTCCAAAAGACCAGCATAAAGCCTTTCAAGTCCAACCATGATCGAAACAACCTTCATTATGCTGCCTCTCTACAGATCTACCACCTCAGCGCTGCCACTTTTGGCAAACAAACCACAATAGAGAGACAGTACAAGCTTGCCCTCTCCGACACCCATGAGTGGTTGTGAATCCTGGCCTTTCTTGTAGCAGGTGACTTGAAACTAGTTGATCCATGTGGAACTATAATGAGTGGTGTAGCAATAGCTCCCTGAGTTCTTTGCTTCCCCCAGTAAATCCTGGCTTAGATCAGCCAATTCTATACAAGTGAAACAGAAAACCAGACGGAAGGTCCAAGGGAAGTGAGTGGCTGAGGAGAAAACAATAGCAAGGGAAGGTGCCCAGCCAGGATACAACCCCACCCCACCCCACCACCCCCCCACAAGCACATAGTGGGCTGGAGCTGCCTGAGGCCTGCACAGAATGGAGGAATGAGATGTCCTAGGACTGGGGAAAATACTTAATAATGCAACAGTGCCCAAAACCCATCTTCAACAATTTCAGGTCTGGCACAACCTAGAGGTACTTGGATTGCATCATTATTTGATGCAAACCACGGTTATCACATACGGTAATATTCTCTGTGAAGGTAGGGAAGGAGAATGAAAAACTGACAGATGATAGATAGATTATAGACAGACAGACAGAGTTAGAAGTTTAAACAGTTAATTCTCACTGTAATCATTTTTCTTTTCAAATTTTTTTCTTTGTATGCATGCTTGTGGCTTCTTTAGATTTGTTGTTATTGTTTATTTGTTTTATGTTTTGAGACAAGGTCTATCTATGTAACCCAAGCTAATCTTGAACTCATCTATAGACAAATATGACCTCAAACTTTTGAATCTGCCTGGTTCAACCCTCAAAGTGATGGAGTTACAAGCAGGTGCCATCTTGCCCAGACAATACATAATCTGTTTGGGTCTTGAGGTGGGGTTTGTTTGTTTGTTCTTTCTGTGTTCCTAGAGGTTAAAAAGCAAGGCCTCTTGTATTCCTGGCAAGCACTGGAACACTGATATACACTTCAAGCACCTTGGGTTGCTTCAAGTTTGAGGAAGATTGATGCGGAGTCTAGGGAATGCAGCCCAAGTAGCCTCAAACTCTCCATCCTCTTCCTTCAGCCCCAAGAGTGCTGCTGGGATTACAGGCTGTCTTCATACTCAGCTTAGTCAACTGCTGTTAATATGCCTATTCCAAATTATATCAATAGAAAGTGTTTTAATTAAGATTTAAGTAAGATCAAGACTTTATAAATTAGATATGTTTATGGGATTTTTATTATAATTGGCCCTTATTAATTTTTATTGAAAATAGTTTTATTCATGCAATATATTCTGATTATAGTTTCTGCTTCCCCAGCTCCTTCCAGGTGCTCCCTACCTACCCAAATCTACATGCTTTTGCTCTCTTTCTCTCTCATTGGAAAACAAACAAGCATCTAATAATAATGGTTATTTTATTGTTGTTTTGTTATTATTAAAACAAACATTAGAACTGGGATTGTCATGTAATTCAATCTTGTTTATAATTCAAATAAAATAAATAAATAAATAAATAAATAAACATTAATAGGATAAAACAAACTAACAGGAAAAATGAGAGCCAAAGAAACCACCTAACACATACAGACACAAAGACACACATTTTCAAACACACTGAAATCCCATAAAAACACTAAAATGGAAACTAATATATAAGCAAAAGATGTGTAAAGATGAGAGAGAGAGAGAGAGAGAGAGAGAGAGAGAGAGAGAGAGCATTATGAGAGGGAAAATTACTACAAAAATTTCATTGCATTCATTTTGTGTTGGACATCTCCTGCTAGGCAAGGAGCCTGCACTTAAGTATGGTTTGTATGCCCAATGAGACTCCATTGGAGAAAGCTATTTTTTGCTCTGTGAGTGATTGTCAATTGGCAATAGTGTCTGGGTTAGAGATAGGGGCTTGTGTCCACTTCCCCTCTCAGTTCTGGGAACCCCATCTGGCTTAGACCCTGTGAAGACATTGTGTTCATATGTGTGTCAGTCCTGTTGTATCTAGTCCTTGTTTCCCTAGTGTCTTTCATCCCCACTAGCACTTAATAATTTTTGCTTCCTCTCCTGCACAGTTTCCTGAGCCCTGAGGGGAGATATTTGATGGAGACATACAATTTAGGACTGAGTGCCCCAAGATCTCTCACTTTCTGTACATTGTAGAGTTGTGGTTCTTTTTATTTGTTCCCATACTTCAGAAGGAAGCTTCTCTAATGAGACATATAATTGAATGTCATTAGAAATTATTTTATTGCTACATTGCTGAAGAATAGAACTTGGTTTTCCACTAGGTCCCTAGGCTATCTAGGCTCAGGTCTAGGCCACCCAAACACTTTCTGGCATGGGTTGCATCTCATGGGGTGTGCCTTAAATCCAATAAGACAGTAATAGTTGGTTACTCCCACAACTGTTGGGCTACTATTGCATCAGCATAACTGGCGAGCAGGTCACTATTGTATGACAACCTTTGAGACAGAGTTAAAATATCATAACTACCCATTTCAGGGTTCACTTCAGTGGTTTGTCATTATTCAGAGTTCTCCCGATGTATCCACAAATCTTCACATTCAATACTCAAGAGTGATGATGTGAGGCCACTGTGACAAACAACAAGTGTATGGAAATAACGTTTGCTGTCCTTGGTCCTTGGAAAAGGCTGAGCTGAGGGTGCCAGTCAAGAAAAAAATCTTACTGTGGGAGCAGCTAATTGTGTAGGCCCAACCCTGATGTCACCTCTCCATTCACAGGCCAGGACTCAGCCAGTCCCATCAGGACCACACACACAGGCCAGATACAAGGCAGCCTCATCCACAAGAAGGGCCTAGATGTGGGTGTCCACAGTTTCCTGGGAATTCCCTTTGCCAAGCCACCTGTAGGATCACTGCGCTTTGTACCCCCAGAGCCACCTGAACCATGGAGTGGTGTGAGGAATGGGACCTCCTATCCGGCCATGTAAGTTTTCCTGAGGCCCTGGGATTGATGAGAACTGTGAACTCTGGGCCAGATGGCAGGAGTTCCTCATCTCAAGCTCACAGCATTTTTCCACTGTGCAGGGAGATTCCCAAGAGTGTTTTCAGGAGAACTTTTTTAACACTAAATGAGTGAGGTGACTCTGCTAACCTCTTAGTTCAGGGCTTATTCTCTGGATGGCATTGATCAGACTATTTCTAGTGTTCTCTAATATCCAAGGAAGGGTCTCTGGGAGAGGTTTGGGTTGACTCCTAGAACCTGTAAGATCCCCCAACTAATAGCATCAGAAACTAGGTCCCTGAAGATAACAATGGTAGCTCCTTGCAAATTCCACCTTCCACTACCACTGTGCCCTTCTTGCCTAGATGTCACTAAGCAAGATAAGTATATATGTATGTTAGGTACTTTTCTTATTGCTGGCACAAAATACATGGCAAAAGCAAGTTTACAAGGAAGAGTTTACTTTGGTATGTAATTCAAGGGGAAAAGTCATGGCAGCAGGAACATAGGGTGACTTGTCACATCACATTGCACCAATAGTGAGGAAGCAGAGAGAGAGAAATGAATGATGATGCTCAACTTACTATCTCTTTTCTATTTAGTTCAAGGCCCCAGCCAACAGAGTAGTACTGTCCACTTCTAGGCCATGCTGTCCTATCTCAAATAACCTAATCTAGAAACACCCTCATAAACAAGCCTAGACAGGTTTGTTTCCATAATGTTTCTAACTCTCATCAAGTTGATATTCAAGATGTCACAATATTCTTCTAACGGGAGATTATGGATGAGATGAGGATGCCAAGAGTCTGGACTTAGAATGAAGGAGATCTCGACTAACCAATGGGAAACTAGCCTCCACTCATTCATGAACTCCAGTGTCACACAGCTGTCCTGTTCCAGAACTGGTTGGCTAGAGGGAGAAATGGTGGATGTCAATGCCTTCAATCAAAGGTTGTCAAAGGGATTCCTAAAGATCATGATTTCCCACCCTCAGGAAGAATAGGATTCAAGCTTCTCAGCAACCTTAAGACCTTACATCTGGGCTCCATCTCAGCTTCTCCAGAGCCCATAGTTTGGCCTTGATGAGCAGGAACTTAGAGAACGATCCGTGTAAGCAAGACATCAGGAAAGAAGTGCATAGGGATATTTGGAAGCATATTTCCCTGAGGGTCTATTTCTGGGTAATCCTATGTCCCTGGGACTGACTGACTGCCATGGTTGGACACCAGGTGTCTGCAGGACATCACTGCAATGAATATGCAAGCTCTTAAGCTGTTGAAGATGACCTTGCCGCCCATCCCCATGTCTGAGGACTGCCTGTACCTTAACATCTATACACCAGATCATGCCCATGAAGGTTCCAACCTACCTGTGAGTATCAAGACATGCTCATTCTGGAGTAAGAGGACATTTCTTCTAGAGAAAGATTAGATCAGCCTGGGCCATGCTGCAGTGAACCCTGATGAGAACCCTCCTTCTTTAATCAAACCAATTTACCACCTTGTGTCTAAATCTATTGATGCACAAGAGCGACACTTTGAAGTCACCAAAGACCTAGCCACTGATTTTCATTGAATTGATGAGACTTAGGAACACTTTTGGGAACTGGAGAGATGGCTCGGTAGTTAAGAGCACCGGCTGCTCTTCCAGAGGACACGGGTTCAATTGCCAGCACCTACATGGAAGCTCACACATGTCTGTTATTCCACTTCCGGGGCTTCTGTCACCCTTCCACACACATACATGCAGGCAAAACTCCAATTAAACATAAAATAGAAACATTTTTTAAAAGAAACATTTTTGATTAATTTTCATGGGACATAATGAAAGAAATATACCAATTATTCCCACAGAAAACTTTCTTAGAATAATGCAGCCAGGCTTTGATGCTGGCATGGACTCCAAACAGAGAGGAAGGCTAGTGTCCATGAGTATACTTGATCCCCTCACCCATAGAAATTCCAGTATGTCCAATTGGACATTTGTCTATGTGGGCAGCTACTCAAAGAAGTTGTACCAGCTCTGAAATGAAGCCAAGCTGAGATATAATGGAGACACATGGCACCTATCTTGACTTCTCCAGGTGATGGTGTGGATTCATGGTGGTGCACTGGTTATAGGCATGGCTTCCTTGTATGATGGATCCATGCTGGCAGCCATGGAGGATGTGGTGGTGGTCACTATCCAGTACCGCCTGGGTATCTTAGGTTTCTTCAGGTGAGTCTGGGACTGGCCTGGGCTGGGCAATGAGGCCTGAGAAGAATAAAGTCAGCCTATGATTCCTGTCCCTTCCACTTCTCAGCACTGGAGACCAGCATGCTAGAGGCAACTGGGGCTACCTGGACCAAGTAGCCGCCCTACGCTGGGTCCAGCAGAACATCGCCCACTTTGGAGGCAACCCTGACCGGGTCACTATTTTTGGAGAGTCTGCAGGAGGCACTAGTGTGTCTTCACATGTTGTGTCCCCCATGTCAAAAGGACTCTTCCACGGAGCCATCATGGAGAGTGGGGTGGCCCTGATGTCAAGCCTCATCTCAAAATCCTCTGAGGTAGTCTACAGAGTGAGTGCTCCCAACCACCCCAACCATTAACTGCCACCTCAGCTTTCACCCTCAGAAACCCTGGTTCTCTGTCTGACCAATGTGGATAGGGACAATGGAGGTACCCAGGCAGCTGCCCCTGTTCAGGAATTTCTGAAGAGCTAAAGGTTAAAATCTACTCCCTTCTGCTGCATACCGGCTTTGTAGCCCATAAAGCCATGCTGGGAATTCCTGATGTTATAATCAAAGCATGTCATCAGGAGTGATAGCTCCTCTGGCTGTCACCTCTAATCATCAAGGAAACAAATAATTTCACACCTGCCATAATCTACATACCTATGTACCTTATGAGATTTGAGGGACACCTGAACCCAAGTGTGGGACCTTAGAAAAATATTTTCCTGCCTGGAAGTCTGGGCCATCCCAGGCCTGATGTCTTTATAGGTGGTTGCCAACCTGTCTGGATGTGAGCAGGTGGACTCAGAAGCCTTGGTGAACTGTCTACGAGACAAGAGTGAAGAGGAGATTATGGCAATTAACAAGGTTGGAGTGAATGGTAGGATGGAGGGGCCTTCAACTCCCTGGATACTGACTTCATTTCATCCTTCATAATCTAGCACTCAGGAAGAGATTAACACCAGGATATGGTAAACCAGCTGTAGGACCTCAAAGACTGAGTGTGACAATCCTGGATAAGACAGACAGGAGTAGGCGACTGTAGTCTAACATCAGAACTGTCAAGAATCTGACCTTCCTTCCTAACAGCCAATGTCCCTGCAGGCCTTCAAGATCATCCCTGGCATAGTGGATGGTATCTTTCTGCCAAGGCATCCCAAGGAGCTGCTGGCCTCCGCTGACTTCCAATTTGTCCCCAGCATTATTGGTGTCAATAATGATGAGTATGGCTGGATCATCCCCTCAGTAAGGCACAAGTCCAAGGCCCTTGGTCTCTGGGAAGCCCACACTGTAGTGATATATTGTTTATGACTTATTAAAGATTGTCTGAGGGTACAGAAAGCAAAGCTAGCCACAAGCCATAGAGCCAGGCAACAGTGATACATACCTTTAATCCCAGCAGCCATACTAGAAAGCCATAGATCCAGGCAATAGAGGCACACACTTTTAATCCTAGAACTTGGGAGACAAGCAGATAGATCTCTCTGAGTTCAAGGCCACCCTGGCCTACACAAGTGAAGAACAACAGAGTTCACATCTTTCCTACCAGTACTTAAGATCACACCCCTTTAATCCCAGCATTAGGAAGGTGGAAACAGGAGAGATAAGGCTGGGCAGAGAAAGGAATATAAAGCAGGAGGATACAGGAACTGAGATCTCTTGCTCCTAAGTATTTGTGGAGACAGGATTGCCATTTCAGCTTGACAGAGGTAACATCTACTGACTTGGCTCCTTTGCTTCTCTGATCTTCAGGCAAGCTTTAATAAGTTATAAATATAACCACACCACCCTATAGCTCCATGTGATCTTGACCACAACACAGACTCCTCTTTCCACTTAGAGCATGAGCACCACTGACTCCCAGAAGGAAATAGACAGACAGACCATAAAAGCTATCCTGCAGAGAAGGGCAGCACAGATGGTGAGGCTTCTGGGGTACTGTAAGTAAAACAAAGAACACCTCCATTGTATCCTGTTCATGCAACAAACTGCAGGAACAAAGACTGAACCATGATGGTACTGCTGGTTTGAGTGTCCCCAGAACTGGACCTTTCTTGATCTTACTTGTCTGATGTTGGGCCCTACTCTTCATCTTGAGGCTATGGCCTCACTGCCCCAATCCCTGTCTAACGTGACTCTCCTTTTTCACTCTGGGTTAGATGTGGCCTCCTGAATTTAGTGACCTGCTGATGGAAGAGTACATGGGGAACAATGAGGACCCTCAGCTTCTCCAAGGGCAGTTCAAGGAGATGATGGAAGACTTCATGTTTGTGATCCCTGCACTGCAAGTAGCACATTTTCAACGTGAGTACATCTGGAAGTGAAGCCTGATGCCTAGAGGCAGCTCAAAGCTGTGGTGCCCAGCTGAACTCTGGGGTGTCCAGCTCCCCACCCATGTCTATATTGGACCTCTGATAGCTGGCACTTAATGTCCCTCATCTAAGTAAATTTTTGGGACTTGTCTAAGACATAGAAATCTTCCAAATTTTACTTATGAGCAAGCTAAGTGGCAACAGTATCATAAGACTGTATAGCAAAGATTTCCAGGACCATGTTTAAACAAGTCCCTCCCTCAGCCTCTGCTCCAGCATGGGGTTTCATACATATCCAACCTCTATCCAGTTTTGTCCCTCAATCCAGCTAGCTATCTTGTCATCACAGTTGAGGAAGGACATCCCAAGCAAGGATGCACTTTCTCAGCCTGTCTTGCCTTCAGGTTTCCATGCCCCTGTATACTTCTATGAGTTCCAGCATCGGCCCAACTTCTTCAAGGACTCCAAGCCATCCGATGTGAAGGCTGACCATGGTGATGAGATTCTCTTTATCTTCAGATCATTTTGGGGAGGCACCCAAGGTGAGTCATCTTTATTCCCCAGGATTCAAGCTCCTCAAGTTTATTAAGATGGGGAAACTGAGGTTCAGAATAAAGACAGCATGGCTTGTGCACCATGATGTATCTGAAAAGGCTGATGTGAGATTAGAAACCCAACCCCCTTCCACTCCTGCCTGTGTTTCCTCCATCTGTCCCAACCTGCAAGGGCCGTGGGATCAGGCACGGATAAAGAATGGGTTGTTTTATACTACTTGTTTATTTGCGTATTTTGACTTTTTGAGGCAAGGTCTCCCTGTGTAGCCCATAATTCATGACAGTTCTCTTGTCTCAGTCTTCTAAGTGCTGACATTAGAAGCAAGCACCACAACTCCTACTATGAGAAGGGCATTCTAAAGGCATGATTATCCCCAACTTCCCTTGATCAAAAGGAAGGAGGACATTCTGGGGCATGAATGAGCCTGAAGGAGACAGAATGTGCAGGGAGTGGATTATGGGTGGGAGGAAAGGAAGGGAAGGGACCAGGCCCAAGAGCAGGCTACATCTGAGATGGTGAGTGTAGAGCTTGAGTGAGCAGCTGCATGAGAAGCAGGAGTCTAGACCCTTAAACTCCTCCTCTCTGCAGTTGACCTCACTGAGGAGGAGGAGCTACTGAGCAGGATGATGATGAAGTACTGGGCCAACTTTGCACGACATGGGTGAGAACATGCCCCTTCCTTAACCTCTAAGGAGTTGACTGACATCCAGGGCTGCCCTTGTGGTTAGTGGTTTCATTAGCAATCATGGGTCTTTCATCACATGACAGCCTCATCCCCACCTCAGGATCCACTTAAGACAATTGTAGGTGCTGGTAGCTGAAGATCTCCCAGTGACATAGACGCAGAGTCGAAGTGTTGCGATATTATTCTTTATAGCGTGCCTCTGAAAGGAGGGGGGAAATCGGGCCAGGTATCTTTGTTCCTCATGGAACAGACAATATAGTAAGATCTTTTTTTCCTACGTCAGTATACCTGACTCTAAATTTGTAATTCCGTAACTGCTTAGACCCTGACCCAAATCAGAGGCTATGGTCCAAGTTCAGAAGAGCCTAAAGTAACCTTCAATCTCCCTACTGGGAGGATTTGTCCATAGGAACCCCAACAGTAAAGGTCTGCCCACCTGGCCCATGTTTGACCATGATGAGCAATACCTGCAGCTGGACATCCAGCCTGCTGTGGGCCGGGCCCTGAAGGCCAGAAGGCTGCAGTTCTGGACCAAGACTCTGCCCCAGAAGATCCAGGAGCTAAAAGAGGTTAAAGGCAGTCACGGAGAGTTGTAGCACCTGGAGTCAAGTTGCAGTTTGTCCTGAGTTCAAGTGGGTGTATTCTGAAGTTTCCAAACACCTTTAGAAGAAATAGAAGGGATCTTCAATTTTATGTAGTCATCAGGTTCATGAACCCATCAATTCTGAAATCTCCTCTACATGATATATGTTCCCTGATAAGCCTGATATGGGTCACTTCTGTTACACACAGCAAACACACAGGAGGCTATTGATGGGGGAGTCCCAATAGACAATACCTTCCTCCATGCTCAGCAGGCAAGGGTCCCTCCCTCCTTCCCTCCCTCCTTCCCTCCCTCCCTACCTTACCTCCCTTCACCTCCTTTCCTCTCCTCTCACTTCGCAGGCCTTCCACTACTAGTGACGTACCTTGGGGAGGATTTCACTAATCTGGGTGACTGACTTCCTTTTTCACACCTCAACAAGATCCTGTCCCCTAATAGACAGGGACAAAAATTTAAAAGCAGATACTAAAAGCCCCAAGATTTCATTGTGGAGCTATTCACACAATTATCACAGTAGGATGGCTTCAACACCACAGAAATTCATTGCTACCTGGAAACTGAAAGCTCTGGTGATGGTGGCACCCAATTTGATATCTAACAAGGAATTACTCTCAGAATTGTGGGTAGCACTTTGCCCTTCCCACTGTAAGCCAGCAAACAAGTTCCCATCGGCCCCATTCATACAAATAAATTCCCACAGGCTCCATTCTATAAACAAATTCCTACAGGCCCCATCCATACCAGTCCCATATTAGCTCACCCACTATTGTTATAACAAAAAAATCTGAACCAATAACTTATAAAAAGAAGAGTTTCTAAGCTAGCAAGATGGCTCAGAAGTTAAGGGCCATCAAGCATGACAACATGAATTTGATCCCCAGGACACACACGGTAGAAGAGAATTGACTCCCCACATTGTCCTCTAGCCTTCACATATGTTCTATGGTTCTATGGTGTATGCACACACGCAGGCACACACACACACACAGGCACACACACACACACACACACAAATAAATGTAAAACAAAAAACAATAAAATACTTTTTAAAAAGAGAAAGACTTTCTCTAAACTCAGTTTTAAGACAGAAAACTCTAATATTGGATTCCTTCACCTAATGCGACACTGGTGAGAACACACTGGACTGCCTCACAACATAGCAGAGAGCAGAAAGGGAAATGGATGAAAAGAGGCAAACATAATGGCTTTGCACAGTATTTAACAGTGGGACCCCAGGGGCTTATTGGAACTACACTAATCCATGTCCAGAGTAGTGAATCCAGAACCTAATTAAATCCCATCAGGCCCCACCTCATAGAGATTCCATCACTTCTCAGTATTTACACAATACAGTTAAAATTTCTAGCACATGAAACTTGACAAGACATGCATTATCTAATTATAAGTCATAGCAGCTGGCTAGTGGGAATACATCCACCCTACCTGATGGAGTTCCACTCAGATGGGGACTACCCAGCTGGCATCCAAGCACTGACTGGCCAGAAGACATGATGGTCCCACCCATAAGCCTCATTATGATAAGCAAATGTGATGCAGAAATGGCAGACAAAGTAAAGAGGAATGGTTCATGCCCTGTAGAAAGAGGCAGAAAAGAAATGAAGACAGTAAGGAGTGGGCTGATATTGAGGGCCTGCATGTCACTGGGGTCATGGTGAAGGTGGTGAGGACTAGGCTGATGAGGACTAGGAGGTCTTCTTGACACCTGGGGCCATGATGATGATGTCCAGGCAGGGCTGCTGCCAAGGGTCATGTCTAGGTCCCTGGTCCTACATCAGCCAGGATCTGTGTTTATGTCTGTGGCTCCCACTGCCATCAAGGGCCATGCTGATTCCAGTGGTCCAGGATGACTCCTGGGGCTGTGTTTGGGTCCAGAGAGCCAAGCTGCTGCTGGAGCCATGACAATCGTGTGGCCTTCAAACACCACCTGAAGCCATGGTGACAGCCAAACCCAAGCTACTGCTGAGGTCCATGTCTGGGTTCATGGTCCTACTGCACTCTAGAGGTCTATGTTAATGTCCATGACCCCTGTGGCCACCAAAGACCATAAGAAGTCTGGGATCTGGGCTAAAACCTGTGGCCTTGTAGGCATCCAGGGGCCATGCTGTTGCAAAAGCCATCCTGATCTGAGTGGCCTAGGCTACCACCAGGACCTAGGATGTTGACCAAGCCTAGCTGCTACCCAGGACCATGTCTGGGTCCATGACCCAGCAGCAGCTGCTGTCTGTGGGATCCCACTAGTGGGATCCTCTAGGCCACACAGAGGCCGGGGATCTAGGCCAGAGCCTACAGCCTGGTTGGAGTATGGGCACCATGCAACACCAGGACCATACACATCTGGGTGGCCTGTGCTGCCACCTGTGGGGCTATGATGTCATCTGGGCCCAAGATGCTGTTGAGGGTCATATCTGGGTCTATGGTCCACCTGGAGTTATGGTCTGTGTTGATGTCTGTGGCCTGTGTCACCTCAGGGAGCCTTAGGAACCATGTGGGATGAAATCAGAGGGCCATGCTGTATCAGCCCTACCCTTCACTGACCAGGAGAAGTTGGCCTTGCCTCTCACTGGACACTCTGGCAAAAGAACTGGCACTGACCCTCATAGGAGATCTGACTCCTGCACTTGGGAGAGATGATTCCACCCCTCACCACAGGCAAGAGTGACCAGAGGGTGTAGGGGAGCTGACTCTGCCCTCTCACCTGAGGTGGGAGGCCCCAGTGGCCCAGACTGACCAGCTCAGCTACCACTCAGGTCCACAGCCAGGGTTGGCCCATCCTAGCATCTACCCCATCTAGGACTTGCTGGAACTTGTGAGGAGACAGGTCCTGTGGAAAGATACCCCAGGATCTCTATGACTCTGTAAGGCTATAGGATATCCCAGAGGAGCTCTGGTGAGGATCCAGTGATGATGATGTACCCAAAACCAGAGGCCTTGAACCAGACCAGTGACTCATTGCAATGAATATTTGCCAGCAAAGCTGATAGGACAAAAGTGTATATGTCTATGACACAACAAGGCCCCAATGTCACCAGGATGAATGAAGAGGTGCTGGAGAGGCAGGAAAGAAGGAGAAGCAAGGAGGTTTTTGGCTGTTGCTGGCGTTTCTTGTTGGTTTTTGGGGGGTGGGAGAGTTGGAAGGATTTTTGGGTTGTTCTTGGTTTTGCTTTTCTTAGTTTGTTTGCTTTATTTCTTGGTTTTGTTTTCTTTTGTTGCGGGAGGTGGCTGTTAGGGCAACCCAACAGGCAAGCATAATTGGAGTACATGATGTGAAAGTCGCAAATAATCAATACAGAAGTTAAATTTTAAAAAACAAATATAAAAAATAAGTCATAACATCAATTCCATTTCCAAGGATATTGCCTTTATGGTGGAGCTCCCCTCAACACACTCCTCTGTGCTGGCTTGACAAAAGCTAGGAGTTATCTGAAAGGAGGGAATCTCAACTGAGAAAATGCCTCCAGAAGATCCTGCTGTGGGGCTATAAGGCATTTTCTTAATTAGTAATTGATCAGGGAGGGTGCCATCCCTGGGATGGTGGTCCTGGATTCTATAAGAAAGCAGGTTGAGCAAGCCATGAAGAGCAAGCTAGTAAGGAGCACTCCTCCATGACCTCTGTATCAGCTCCTGCCTCCAGGTTCCTTCCCTGTTTGAATTCCTGTCCTGACTTCCTTTGATGATGAATGGTGATATGGATGTATAAGCCAAATAAACTCTTTCCTCCCCAAGTTGCTTTGATCATGGTGTTTGATCACAGCAATAGTCACCCTAAGACACCTCCCCCTCATGACAAAACTGGGGAGACTGAGTTTGCACATCGTAATGGAGGCAGGAAACAAACAACTATGGGCATGAATTATGGAAAACATACAGGCCCCAGGCCTTAGATATTGACCCTAAAGATAGTAGTTCATCCATCTTTGGCATTTAAAGCTATCTACCCTCCATTTTCAGTGTGACACAACCCTGTAGCTGCAATTCCTGCACCAAGGAAGCTAGGCAGGAGGATCACAGCCCCAGGTCAGTCTGATGACATATTCTGAATAGAAACAGGAATAGTGGATAGGGCAGGCAGTGAGGAGGTGGGGGAAGGGCTGGGAGGAGAGGAGGGGAGGAAAACTGTGTCAGGATATAAAATAGATATTTTAAAAACAAGAGATAAGCAAAATGCACTCTACAGCCAAAAACAAAAGAAATGAAAAAAGAATCCAAATAAATAAATAGGAAAATATACTCTCTTCTATTTCTGTTCAAGTGGTAATTGGATTTAGTTTTGTGAGATGAAGAACTAAGTATGCACACAGGATGCTGACCCCTGAATCACCCTGAAGGTAGGTAGAGCAGGCCCAGGTGAGTTCCGTGTGTCCTGTCTTCTGCCATTACTCCAGTGTCATTTGGTCTGCAGACACTGTGAGGGACACACTTGCATGACCATTGCCCATCTGCTAAAAAGGTCGTCTGTGAAGCCCTCCCTAGATGTGGGATTGTAGTAAGAAACAGGAGATCCAGACATGTCAAGGAGCAGAGGTTCCTACCCATTAGTTCTGTGGGGATAGGTAGCTCATACAAGGAGCTATCTTCCTCCCTTCACAGTCCCCATATAACCTCAGGACCACCAGACCACATCCTACTTGCCAGGGCATCCATGTAAATAATTGTGTCACCAACTTTTGTCCCTAAATATTCTCTATTCCCCCCATGCTTCTCTTGTTTGACTAATCCCCCCAGCAAGTATGACTAATTACCCCATTTATGACAAATCCCACCATGTTTGGAAGAACAGGTGTACTAGCTCTTGAACGCATGAATTAAGACCAAAAATTGGTGTTAGGATAGATTTCTGAATTATTTCCCCATTTATTTTTTGAGACAGAATCTCTGACTGAACCTGGCTCTCACAGATTTACCTAGACCGCCTATCAAGTTAGTACCCAGGATGTGCCTGTCCCCACTTCTCAGCACTGAGGTTACAGGTGC